ACTGCTTGGCTTTCTCCAGGTACATGTAGGGCTTCCGGATGATTTTCGAAGTCACAAACTTCTGATTGAACTTCATCGCCAGGTTAGCAAAACAAGATATAGACTCCGGGTCCAACGTTCTGAACCACTCGGCCGCCCATCCAGATAACGTTTAGTAAAATGCTCGACACATCACGACATCACTCACACCCATCATAAGCATGTTCCCATAGTAAGTGTTGATGTGGACCTCCGAGTCTGTTTGACCATCATATTCCTTATTACCGGGGATACGCAGGTCGAGCGGATACGGCTGGGCCATGATCTCGGCTGTGAAAGGGGTCCGTAATAGTGAGGCCGTGTTATCTGAAGGTCTTAAAGCGTGTTCATTCTGCCACCGAGTGAATTCTGCACGGAGCTCGTTGACTATTCCGCGGGTATCATCTTGCTCAGTCGTACGGGCTGGTTCACGAGCCCGACGACGACGATGCGCCTGAGGTCCACTGTGTCCCGCCGATCCCGCTTCACTGGCCGCTTGCATGGGTGAATCGACCGAACGCCTGTCCGGGTGCTGTGGTCCCAATCGTTGACGCATTGCCAGCCGAAGTCGTTCAAACGTGCTCGCCTAGTTGTCATCTGGCTCGGGTTCATCTACCGCCTGGGCATGTCTTTCTTGCCGTGGTTCCTCCATGGCTACCGCCCCCTACGATCCCAACCTCGAGTGAGCCGAGCGCTTAGTCCGGGGACCGGGCTGAAGCTCGAGCTCGGCGGGGGATGAGAAGTTGGAGACGTGTACGCAGACATGTAAGGTTGATAGTTTCTCAGCGGGTAATACATCGGGGTTCCGGGCCAACAAGCATATTGGGCGGGCGGTACGGGATGTGGATAATATCCCGAATAGGGGAACTGTTGACCGGGTGGCGGATACATCGGTTGGACGTAATTGACCGCGTTAGGAGCTACCAAGTGAGGTGGAGAAAGGTTGAGGTTGAGGTCGACTGTCTGACCGTGTTGCTGTGTATAGTGGTCGGATGAACTAGCTTCTTCATCCTCTTGCTGATACATGAACGGATACATGGTTGAGGTTTGATACGCGTCACGAATGACTTTTCGTACCGTTCCCCACAGACGGCGCCAAAATGATAGTACTAATGTCCACGTGTAAGCGGTATATGTACTGAATATAAAATGAAGGTGTGAATAAGGAAAAATATTTTATTAAGAGGATGACCTAATACAATCTAAATGACTATCCCGAGGGCCGACTGACTGCGGTCGGGCAGCTCTGTAAATAGCCTACTGATCGTTCCAAAAGTCCCCCTCACTCTAGCCACTGTGGATATTTATAGCCTCTAGCCGGGAACAACCCTCCGGCCTACCGGCATGTAATCCACGTAACATCCACGTGCCCCAACTTGGTGAGCACTCTCTGACAGCGCCTAGCGTCGCCACGTGCCCCTCTCTAAAGATACTATCTTTCCGTAGAACAAAGGTACGCTGATCGGGCAGAACATCGGTCGGGTCCGACCCCGTTTTCAAGTAGGAAAGCAATATAAACGTACCCAGACGACCGGTACCGACCAACATTCTCTTGCATCGCTCGGGTCAAGGAATCTCGTACTAACCCATCCGGAGAACATCTTAAGTCGATCGGGATATATCATTATATCCTACCAGGGCCTAAGACCCGACCTATTTAAGGCCTACATAGGCCTGTCTTGTTTAGTAAAAAGGTCAGGTTTGGACCCATTTTGAAACTTATTAAACTAAACAAGCCAAGCCTATGTATACCAAGCTTGGTCTTCAGGCCTATAGGCCTAGCTTATTTACACATATATATAATTTATTTGTAATATTAAGTTAGTATATATTCTAGTTTATACCTAATATATTTACAATATACTTCCAAGTATATATAATTATCAAACCCTAACCCTCCACCTCCAAAATCGCATTCTAAATTCTGATTCAAATATAAACATTGTTGTTAATCCTATTATAAGTGTTCTTATTGTTTAATTGTTCTTACTGTTAAATATTTAATGAAGTGTCACGACTTAATTATGTGAGTTGCTTGTTAACTATTTATGAGATTATATAAGATGACAATCAATAATACAATTGAATTCATTCATAAACAATTTAACAAGCATGTTGAAGTTGTGACTTGTTTTATTTTATTTTTATATATATTTGGAAAAAGGGTCAAATTAGCCCCCTAAGTCGAGTGGATAATGCAATTGGGTCCCCTAAATGAAAAAAAAAAAACCTTCATTCAAATCCCTTTGTAAAAATGTTTAATTAAGTCCAAATTGACCTATTTAGCAGGTTATTTATTTAAAAAGTTGACACGTGTCTTTTTAAATAATTTTTTAATTTTTTTTCAATAGTTATGAAATTATGAATGTGTTGTTATGCAATTATTGATTTATAGTTATGAAGTTATGGATGTGTAGTTATGCAATTCTGGATGTATAGTTATGAAGTTATAGATGTGTAGTTATGCAATTCTGAATTATTTTCTTTTTAAGTCGGACGTCAAAACGACGTCGTTTTTGCAACCGCGGTTTCACATCATAACACTCCCAATTGCACTATCCACTCGACTTAGGGGGCTAATTTGACCATTTTTCCTATATATTTTAAAACTATTATGTTTGCATTGTGGCGATATACTTATGTAGTTATATATTAATTTTGTATTAGCTTGGTATATTTCTTAAATTATTTAGAAATACTTATTAAAGTTTTTAAAAATACTTAATATATAGGTTTTAAATAGGCTCAAAGCAGAACTTACTTTGAAGCCTTTTTAATGGCCTACATAAACGGACTTTTAAAAATGCTTCAAGCCAGGCCAAGCTAATTGTAGGAGCATTATGCTGTGCAACCATGTGCACCATGCATGGTGCACACGGTTGCAAAAACAATGTCGTTTTGACGCCCGACTTTAAAAAAAAAATCAGAATTACATAACTACACATCCATAACTTCATAACTATACATTCAGAATTGCATAACTACACATCCATAACTTCATAACTATACATTCAGAATTGCATAACTACACATCCATAACTTCATAACTATAAATCCAGAATTGCATAACTACACATCCATAACTTCATAACTATACATTCAGAATCTGAAATTATAACTTCATAACTATACATTCAGAATTGCATGCATAAATACACATCCATAACTTCATAACTATAAATCCAGAATTGCATAACAACACATCCATAATTTCATAACTATAAATTCAGAATGTGAAATTATAAAATTATGAACATATGTTTACGTAACTAACGGCAATAGAAAATAATTTTTTTTTATTTATTTAAGTAAATGACGCCGTTTTTGCATCCGTGTGCACCATGCATGGTGTTCACGGATGCACAACATAATTTGCCCTAATTGTAGGCTCAAATTTGAGCCTAACAAAAAGCCTATATACAGGCTCAATCCCAGGCCTTAAATTTTCGTAACAGGCCCAAGTCTAATTTGCTAAAACTCGACTCGACCTAATCTATTTCCACCCCCAGCGGGTATGTATGATAATTGTTTCCACACTTTTTTTTACTATTTTTTTCACAACTAAATCAATTCATATTCCTACTTTTTGGTTATTTTTTAAAATAGTCAATCATTCATCGACTTAGCCACCTCCTTTGAATACAAACTAAATGGAGAATTAGGATAGGATTTTTATTATTTTTTTTTGGATATAAATCACGAGGTGTTCCGAACCTTTCTCCATCCGTCTTAACTTTTACAGTTCGAGTCCATACGACTAATCCCCGTTTGCTTCGAAAGATATGAGAGCTAGTCCAAAAGGAATTGCCACTTGTGAAAATTGAACCCGAGTTATTCACAAGATCGTCTCCACAAAGAAACTCATTTACCACTTAAACTACCCCTTTGAGTTAATTGAAATATGATTTAAACATGTGGTCTTCCGTCATCAAACATTAAAACCACAATGTACTTGGCAACTAGGGCTGGGCACTTCGGGTTTCGGTTCGGTTTTTTTCGGTTTCGGTTTCGGTTTTTCGGTTTTAAAAAAATTAAACCATTCGGTTTAAAATAGAGTTCGGTTTCGGTTTGAAAAGTTCGATTCGGTTCGGTTTCGGTTTCGGTTCGGTATTCGGTTCGGTTTAGGTGAAAGTTTACTATTTGAACGTTTCTTTTTTTGCCTGATCGGTTGTTTAGTTGACTCACTTGAAGTGTTTTGTTGATGACAAAATGAAAAATCATTCATCTATAGTTAATATTTGAAAAATAAAAATTACTAAAACACCAAATGTTTGGACTTACAACTTGGAGTTGGGATTTGAGGACTTGAGGAGTTAAAATTATTAATTGTTATAATATTTATATACATAAAAATTTAATTAAAATATAATCAACAATTAAAGTAATTATATATATATATATATATATATATATATATATATATATATGTGTGTGTGTGTGTGTGTGTGTGTGTGTGTGTGTGTGTGTGTGTGTGTGTGTGTGTGTGTGTGTGTGTGTGATAATAATGATAGAATTATGAAACTTTAGAACTTTAGAATTAAATAGCAACGGTGTAATAACGGTATAATGGTATTTTAGTCTAACAAGAATATAGTACGGATAATTTTATTCATTATATTTGAAGTGTGCAATATTTAATGAAAAATGTATACCCTTATTAGCATACAAATGTGAATATAGACATGAATGTGGGTATAGCTTAGTGGGTAAAGCTCTTAGTTTATAATCAAATGAGTAAGGATTCAAACCTCACCTTAAACATTTAATATAATATATATATCTATTAAAAAAAAAAAAAAAAAAAAAAAAAAACAGAAAACCGATCGGGTTATCGGTTCGGTTTCACCTAAACTAGGACCGATCGGTCTTTCGGGTAAAAACCAAACCGAACCGATTTGCCCAGCCCTATTGGCAACCCTTCTTTAAAAAGAAAACTCCATCTATTCACCATCAGTATAAGCAACAATAAAGCATCCACCCACACACAGTAAAAATACTGAAATTTTTGCATATATTCACACTGCAAATGTACAAAAAGCAGTAAATAATAGAAGGAAAGTTATACATCACACAGCACCAAACTCTACTACCATAATTAAGCTTGTAACCTTACAACCCTTATTAACTATGAGCTTCAGAACAATGCTGTACTACATTGTGGAATTCCTTGATAGTTATCGCGGGAATGGAAGAAACCCAAGTACAAAATTTCATGCTTACAACTCCGACTCCAGATGATACTATGAACACATCTTAAAACATCCGGAGTACGAAGAAGCTACACTTGTCATGAACTACGATAAGGCTCAGTCATGAAATATACACCTTCAAAATGAATGAAAGAAATTTAAGTTCATTTTGTTCACCTTGTAATGCTCGGTTCAAGTACTCCGGGCACTTATTGAGGTGTAAGTCATGGTTGCCTGTGTCATACCAGTACTCATGTTTCCGGATGATGAGGAATTGCCCTCGTTCCCCGAGTTAATTGATGCTGTAAATAATTTTTCTTTCTTTTGAACCCTTAGACCCATTAGTTCTGATAACAACCCCGGTTCTGAGATCATCGAATCATCCACCTCCGCCTCTCCCGTCAGCATTTTCAGTACAGTTGACATAGATGGTCGGCTCTTGGTCATGGCTTGGGTGCATAAGAAAGCAATCTTCACATATCTACAAGCTTCATCAATATCGGCACTTTCTATCGATGCATCAACCAACTCAACAAGCTCCCCGCTTTGATAGAGTCTCCAAGCCTGCAAATGAGTATATTATGTAAACAAGCATTCCCAGATTTACTATTTAGCCCCTTCGGGTTCACGTGCATTCAATTTTAGACTGAAAAGATCGAGTTATAAGACACTAAAGGTTAAAAGGTTGGATCTCGGTTTGCTATTCATATGCAGTGGCAACCAATTTTACCAAGTAAAAATAATACTGTCCTCTATCTGTTCAGCGGGGTAAGTTAAGGTTGCAACAGATTATTATTCTTTTTGTCAGACCACGAGGTGTCCTAAGCAGGCTCTAACTATAGGAGCCCGTACCATATTCAGACTAATCCCCGTTCGCACCAGGCCGGCCCAATTAAGGGCAAAGTGCTGACCAGATTGGTTTTTCCATACGAGAGGGTGTTTGAACTCCCGACCTCTCTTAAGGGACAAGAGTGCACAGCCACTCATGCCAACCAAGCTGGTTAAGGTTGCAACAGATTATAGTAATGTATGTCACCGGATAGTCTTATACCCTTTCGAGAAGAAACTGATCGCCAACGGGTAGGCGCTTGTTGGTGTTGCATCTTCCACTAACAATTTCTAAAAGGAGAACTCCAAAACTGTAAATATCTGCTTTCCTTGTCAATCGGGCACGCATTGCATACTCAGGGGCCAAATAACCTCTGCAAGCATATAACATCGGGGTGTTATAATATGAAAATATATATATATATATATATATATATATATATATATATATATATTATCATTTCTGACTCGGCAAATAAAAATACATGCAAACAGGGAGAATTGTATACTTGTTAGAGGCCAAAATGAACCATTAGACTGAATAAAATGGATTGAGGTGCACGTTCTAGTGTTTACAATAAAGACACTCATTTCTCGGTGACTTTGCTTTGACGTGTTTACTAGCAAATTACTAGTCTACAATCAACCCACGGTACCTATCCACCAATTGCCCAAAATTCTGAAACTATAAGAAATTAACTTACTGAGTGCCCACCAGGACTATGTGGTCTAATGGTATCCAGGTTGGACTTCCATTTGGAAGGTTGTAAGTTCGAGCCTCAGTGGAGGCGTTATTGGCTCTTTGTGTTTCAGTAGGTTGAGAAAGTATATGAACAGATACTACAATGTAATAGAGCTAGTAGCATTCAAAAAAAAAAAAAAACTTACTGAGTGCCCGCAACACGAGTGCTGACATGAGTAGCATTAATTGGGAAAAGTTTGGCGAGACCAAAATCAGCAATCTTTGGAGTGAGATCTTTGTCGAGAAGAATGTTGCTTGCTTTAATATCTCTATGAATAATATGAGGTTTTAATTCTTCATGGAGGAATACGAGTCCCCGAGCCACACCTATGCATATTTTAGAACGAGTACTCCAGCTAAACTGAATGTTGCTGTGCCCAGAACCTATAAACAAAAGAAACTCTCGTCAAGAATATAATACGCTTTCACTGCCAATGGAAAAAGAGAGAGAGAGACAGCAAATCACCGAGAAGAGTTTGAGAAAGGCTGTTATTTTCCACATAGCCATATACCAATATCCTATGATCCTCTTCCACACAACACCCATACAATTTCACCAGATTTTCATGTTCTACGCCCGAGATAGCTATTATTTCGTTCAGAAATTCTTTTACGCCCTGAGTTGACTCAGCAGAAAGCACCTTAATAGCAGCTAAAGTGCCATCTTTTAGCCGCCCCTAACAGTCAATAAACAATTTCAGTACAGATATGAGATACGTAAATTCTTCCTAGATTGAGGAATGAAAATGTCATACTTTGTAAACAGAACCAAACCCTCCTTTTCCTATCTTATTTGAGGGGCTAAAGTCCCCCGTTGCAACCCGCAATTCTCCATATGTGTATAGCTTAGCATCCTGCCAGTTTGAAACTTCTGTACCAATTATTCAACCAACTCAGCATTAAAAATAGAAAGCGGGCACATGTATTGCAAAGTACTAATGCAAAACGGTAAGGACATCAACTCGGGGCAGTAAAATTTCCGAAACCTACCTTCTTCAATGTCTATTTGATGCCTAGGGGGAGATGCTTTTTTTCCAAAACAGCACCTAAAATGACTCATATCACCACTTTTTAGTCCTAACAAGCTTTAATTCACACAAATATTGCCTCCTGCCAAGATCAAACCATAACATAAGAACATGGTAACATTTCAAGCAACTAAGATCAAAGTAAGATTGTGAAAGCTATTGCCATCACTTGACCATCAAATCAAATAATTCCCAGCACCCACAAAAAAATCAAGAAAACAGTAAATCTTGCTTCTCCCTTTCTCAAAACAATGGTTTTAAATCCTAGAAATCGCATGTAACATTAAAAAAAAAAAAGGAGCTTTTTTTGTTTTCTAGACCAAAACAAAACAGCATCCATACAAGGATGCCCACAAACAAACATAGGATAACAGTACAACCACCTAGGTTTATTTCCTCTCTTCCAATCTCCTGAATTCACTGTAGATCAAAGAATCATGTCTCTCCCAACTCAACAAACCCTTCTTCCAATTTATTTATAGCTAAACCACAGGAAAAAGAGGCCAAAATCTTAAACAAAATTTATATCAATCTTCAAGCCATCAATCAAAAGAAAAGTCAGAATAGGTCGGGAAGTCAAGACCGGCCATAATTACCAAAAGCAGAAATAAACGCCGGCCCGGTACAAGACAATGGGAAAAGCAGCAGCTGTATATCACTGACCGGGCAAGAAGAAAGAAGCCATCAAAGTAAAATCACAAGATGCAAAAGACCAGCACTGCAAATGCTTATTTTTAGCTCATTTTAACACCTGAAAATTTTCAAGATGAGACCCAAAGAGAGAGAAAGACACAGAATTTAAGGAAACAGGGTGGTTTTGCTTGAGGGGACCTTACAGAGAAAGGACAATTAATGGAAACGAGAGAGAAGAAGATAGGTGATAGGGTCTGCTGTGTTGACTGGAATGGTAGTCCCAGCTCATCAAGACGGGTCTGCCACGTTATTGCACACGAAACAGACGAAAAGTCCCTACAATATATATATATATATATATATATATATATATATATATATATATATATATATATTTTTTTTTTTTTTTTTTTGAAAACTAGCCCTACAATATTTAATACTCCGTAATTGTGAAAAATTTATGTTTGGGCATTTAAATATGTGCAAGTGATAATCAAGTTGACTTAAAATATAGGAAGTCAAATTTATGCTATATTCTCCTATTATTATTATATTAACCGTCTACTTATGTATTTTTTTTTTTTTTGAATGCTACTAGCTCTATTATATTGTAGTATCTGTTCATATACTTTCTCAACCTACTAAAACACAAAGAGCTAATAACGCCTCCACTGAGGCTCGAACTTACAACCTTCCAAATGGAAGTCCAACCCGGGTACCATTGGACCACATAGTCCTGGTAATAAATTCATATACCCGTCTACTTATGTATTTAATTATTAAATAAATTCATTATTAATTTATGTTAAATACAACTAATTTATAAAAAAAAATAACAAATTAAAAGAATTTTGTTTTTAATTAATGTCTTAGAGCTTCCTATAAATGAGAAAGAGTGGGGAAGGCTAATCGTTATTTTGAATTTTTGTCAAATTTTACAAAAAACCTAAATAAATAAAGAGAAGTCACGTGTGGTCGCAACGGGCTATCACCTTGAATTTTTTACTTTTTTTCCTCGGCCATCTCTATTAGCTCTATTTTTTTTTCATAAAAAACTCAAAGGAAAAAAAAATTAATAGTTTGATTTTTGGAGCAATTTTCATAAAGGAATGTAACTTTTTTATTGGTGACGAGGGAAGTCGTACTCGCTACTTAAGAGTATACACTAGGTAAATTCTCTTCCAATCTTTATATAGGGAAGTGTATATAAGTCCCCAAAGTAGTGCTTAGTGCTTAAAAAGTTGAATTTAAAACGCACTTTAGCGACAATATAGAAGTTAAAACTTCAAACCTAACCACATACAATTTAGAGATCAGGTTCTTAGAGTTTGATTAGGATTAATTTGGGCTCATTATGCGCAACAATTATAGTAAAAAGTGTATATAGAGAATTTATAAGTGTATTTCATAAAGTAAAATTCTCACACATGAACAAAGGGCTTTTTTTTTTTTTTTTTTTTTTTTTTTTTTTTTTTTTTAATGTATCAATTAGACGATACCATTTCTCAAGTCACTCGATACAATCAAAATGTTCACTTTTGTGTTTTAAGTAAGAAGCATTATAAGAACATCTCCAATACTCTTAGGGTGTGTTTGGTTGGTGGGTTTTGCCCATAGGAATGGGTATGAAAGTGATTGTTGTTGTTTGGTTGATAGGTTTTTAGAACACTACTATGGGTTTTGAATACCCCATCAATTGAAAAACTCATACCCAAATACAATAAGGGTTTCATTCCCTTATTCATTTTCAAGCACTACTATTAGTAACCATTCCCATTCCACCCTACTACCAAACATGTTAAATACTTTCACCAAAACCCATTACCATTACCAAGTATTTGATACCCATTCCGATTCCGATTCCTATGTGCGAACCAAACACACCCTTAGTTTTTTGTGGTTTTGAGGTGCCACTTAGGAGAGAGAGAGAGAGAGAGAGAGAGAGAGAGAGAGAGAGAGAGAGAGAGAGAGGGGGGATAGACGTTCGATACTCTGCTTTTTATTTGTAATGTTTTGAGTTCTGAGTAATAGCTACGCGTTTTTTTCCTTAAAAAAAAAATGTTTCTTATTTTAACTAGAGGTAGGGTCAGCCAATTCACAGAGCCAATCAATATAAAGAGTTTTATTGTTACATCAATCGGTGAAAAAAGAAGGAAAATAACATTATTCTACGATAATTACACTTTTAATCGCTTAATTGTTGACTATTATATATACAATTTAGTCCTTTATTTGTAATTTTAATCAATATGATTCTCAATTGTTTTATCATGTTGCGAATTTAGTCCTTCAAAGTATAAAATAATCAATTTAGTCATTCTTTTAAAGAGTTAATTCCAGCAATAGTCCTCCGACTATTGTGATTTTCCAAATTTGGTCCTCGTCTTTTAATTTGGACAAAATAAACCCTTGACTATTAGAATTGTTCCACCATTGGTCCTTCCGTTAACTTAGAGTTAGATAGATGTTAAGTTAAGGGGTAAAAGGGTCATTTCCTCTGTTGGGTTTCTTCTTCTCCCTCCCGTACGATGAGTTAACTCTATAGGCAAAGGCAGCTTAGATTTCTGGTGGTCGAGGACTGCTTTACATAAATTATATTTTTTGTAGTAATACTTATGTTAGGCATTCTGGAATCTCAATCCCATATTTTTCTTCCTCTTCTTGAATATCATATTCTTCTTCAGATTCTATTCCAGGTTAATGTTAGGACTTATTGAAACTATGAATTAATGGTGTTTTAGATTTCTCACCTATAAAAAAAAAAAAAAAAGGATAGAACTAAAATTCTTAAATCCCTAATTAATTTCCCTATTATACCCTATGTATCTGTGATATGTTGCTCCTCCAAGCTCTGTCAAATCCAATAGTCAACAACGAAGCCAAGCCCAAGCCCAACAAGTTTACGACGCCGCCGCCCTCCCCTGCGAATCTGCAAAGAAGACGACAACGAGCGACGAAGCTACAAGTCGCCGACGCTGACCTCGACCCCTCACCTGCGAATCTGCAAAGAGGACGACAACGGACGACGAAGTTACAAGACGATGACGCCGTCGCCGACACTTCCCCCCTTCCCTGGGAATCTGAAAAAAAAAAACGACAACGGACGACGAAGCTACAAGCCGCCGACGCCGACCCCTCCGCTGCGAATCTGCAAAGAGGACGACAACAGACGACGAAGGTACAAGCCGACAACGACGCCGACCCCCTTCGCGGCGAATCTGCAAAGAAGACGAAAACGGACGCCGAAGCTAGAAACCGACGATGCCGACGCCTCAAGAAGAAAGCCGTGTGAGGTGCAGTGACTGTGAATTTTGATTTTTTGGATTGGTAATTTGTTATTGAGAATTTGACTTTAAGAATTGAATTGTTAAAAATGTAGAAATTATGATATACGGACTACTTTATTTGGGGTCTGGTCTGTGTATATTCAACCAACCTCAAGAAGAAGAAACTCAGCAGAGGAAATGACCATTTTACCCCTTAACTTAACATCTATCTAACTCCAAGTTAACGGAAGGACTAATGGTGGAACAATTCTAATAGTCGAGGGTTTATTTTGTCCAAATTAAAAGACGAGGATCAAATTTGGAAAATCACAATAGTCGGAGGACTATTGCTGGAATTAACTCTTCTTTTAAATGTTACTTGGTATAAGTACACAACTGAATGACTAAATTGACTATTTTACTCCATAAGAGACTAGATTTACATTACACTAAAACAAATAAGAACCACATTAACAAAAAAGAAAGAGTTAATACCCCTTTTGGTCCCTCGACTACTATTCAGTAATGCACAATTTAGTCCCATACTATTAAAAGTATCTAATTTAGTCCTCTAACTTGTAAAATCATACCCAATTTGATCGTCCGTTACAATTGTCATCCATCCACCGTTATAGAAAGGGACAAAAACGTCATTTTATCTAATAGTCGAGGGACCAAATTGGTCCATCGACTACTATTCGGTAATGCGCAATTTAGTCCCATACTATTAAAAGTATCCAATTTAGTCATCTAACTTGTAAAATCATACCCAATTTGGTGGTCCGTTACAATTGTCATCCATCCACCGTTATAGAAAGGGAAAAAAACGTCCTTTTATCTAATAGTCGAGGGACCAAAATGGGTATTAACTACTACTACTATAATAATAATAATAATAATAATAATAATAATAATTATTATTATTATTATTATTATTATTAGTTAACGGTTAGTTCAGTTCGAAATTGTCGATTAACCAAAATTTTAAATAAATAAATAAATAAATAATCTAAAATGTAAAATCTTTATAAATTTGTAATGTTGTTATGGTATTGCTTGTATATATTTCTTATGGATTTATTATTATATATTATTTTAATTAGATTTATTATTATATGTATTATTTTTAGGATTTAACCAACCGATTAATCGAAAAACTTCAGTTCGGTTAATTCGGTAATACAAAGTTCGGTTCAGTTAACGATTAAAATTTTAAAAATTTCAGTTAAAACGGTTCGGTTAACCGATTGTACACCCCTAGTCTTGATATACAAAACTAAACTAAGAGCAACCCCACCTACGATTTTTTGTGGGGTCCAATATGAGTTGGAGGATAGAGAAGAAGGAGAGAGAGAATGCATTTTGAACTCCTGAGAGATAATGGTTTTTTGTAGGTCCCAGGAGAGAGAAAAAATGGAGGAAAGATTGTGCATGATTTTTTGTGGTACATTTTAGTTTTTAAAATAATAAGAAGTAATATGGTGGCAGGAGACATTGTCTCAATAATAATAATAATAATAATAACAACAACAACAACAACAACAACAACAACAACAACAACAACAACAACAATAATAATAATAATAATAATAATAATAATAATAATAATAATACCCATTTTGGTCCCTCGGCTATTAGATAATAATAGTTAGTACCCATTTTGGTCCCTCGACTATTAGATAAAAGGACGTTTTTGCTCCTCTCTGTAACGGTGGATGGATGTCAATTGCAACGGAGGACCAAATTGAGTATGATTTTACAAGTTAGAGAACTAAATTGGGTACTTTTAATAGTATGAGACTGAATTGCTCATTACCTAATAGTCGAAGGACCAAAATGGGTATGGAACTCCTGGGAGCTGGTTGGATAGTTTGAGTGGTAACCACAATGTTCCAAATTTGACTCTCGGTGAAAGTTGTTTATTGACATTCTTGGTTTAAGCTT